ATATGACAGAGTTTCTTTATATTTCCCAAACTTCATGGCATTATATGGGCAGCCCAGAAGCAAGATATCTAGGCTGAACACAACCGCTCACCCCATCGCACTAGCCTTCACCCTTCATGGGTGTATTTTTGTGGAGTCCTTTCCAAGCTTTCGCCCTTCAAATGAAAATTAAAGCAGCTTTGGTTGACTATCAGAATAAATGGCTCCGACTTCTGTCGTTAGACGCTTCCAAACTCCAGTGGAATGACGCCGAATGCTGATAGCTTCGCACCGCAACCGCGCGCGTCTCTAATCGGCAACTACCAAGCGCTAGGATAGAAAGGGAAAAAGAGTTGTTCTTTGTCAAGCAAATGAGAGCTATCTATCATAGAATTGATTGTTTAGAAATCTACAACAATGATAGCGTCAACAACGGCAGCCATTCCTTCAAACCCATTCACGTCGAAGATTTTACAGTCGATCCAATCAATGACACCGATCACTTTGAAACCCACACTGATACCACTTATGATGAAGTGCTTAGTAAGCTGAAGAAAGGTTTCAATCCTATTGACCTCTCAGAAGGGTTGGATCGTCCTAGCACCCGAAGCAAAGGTGTTCCCAATTTGACGCCATACGTTCCGCTTGATCCAGTCATGTTCACTCCAGAGTATTACCTGCTCCGCGACGGTGAGTCTGAACAGTTCTTACTCAATCTTTGAGGTTCATCTCTATTTCCCTTCCTTCAGCTGAAAGCACTGGCACAAAAGGTCGAAATCATGATCCAACCTTTGTGAGTTCAACGAATAGGCGAAGTAGGGCTGAGTTGAGCTAACGCATCCCTAAAAGCTGAGTATGGAGGGCATAATTCTGATGGCGCTGGAACGACAGGATGAAAGGCCTATTTCTTCCCTACCTGTATGAGCACTGTCACCTAACGTTTCCACTGATACTTTCTTGTTGAATACTCTAACCCATGCTCTTTCGGCTCTGACATCGTCGGAGTCGTGGAAGACTTTTGTTGCTCGCTGCTCCAGTAATTCCTGTCGAACTGGAACTACCTGCATCAATCTCCTTGCATCGTCCGTCCGCCAAGCCGCCTCTAGACTCAAGTCCATTTCAGCGTTCGGATTCCGATGAAGTGCGATGCCGTTTGCTCATCGGTCCACTACAGCGTCAAAAGAAAGTCCCGGGTATAACGCTCTACCCAGAGGGTTACGCCATTCCCCTCAAACCCCCAGTGATCAAATGTTTACATTTTCTTTTAGTGGTCTATAGCCGACTTGGTTATTTCCAGAGCCAAAGTTTATTCGCCGTAGATATCCCTCCTTGACTACTAGCTACGACTACACTGTTCCCACCACGTCATACACGGTCACGAGGCCTGTGAAGCGAAATAACAGGACTTTGTCAACCACCCCGTATGACAGTGGTACAAAGCCACCATTTGATGGTGAAACAACAAACAGGGCAACCTACAGCTGGATTCAGCCTGTGTGGCAGCCTAGGGTGTGAGTTTCTTTACTTCTAGTGGAGAGGTTACTTGATAAGGAAAATTTCAGAACTCCTGATGATGAACTGGGCCGACGTGATATGCCTTTCTATTCGGATACAACAAACAGATCCGAGTACGTTTCAAAGGTGGTCGATCGCCCAAAAAGGTGGGTACGTGAATATCAACTGTAGCTTGGCTTCCGCTTAAGGCTTTGGAGAGTGCTCATTATATCGCCCATCCTGCATGAATAGTGGTCAATTGTAGTTTTTATATAATGGGTAGAGATGTGTTGGTATTGGCCTAGTGGGAAACGAATTCTAGGACCGTAGGAACGGTAAATATCGGTTTGAACCTGCTTGCCGTCAGACATTTCCGCAGGATGTGGGCGCTCTTCATGAGCGTAGTAGGCTCACAATGTTGAAATGTTCCAGATCATCCGTCAAGGAAGTTGATCGGCCGAAGGCGCCGTTCTATTCAGAAACAACTACCGCTGCCGAGTACGTTCCGAAAGCCGTTGTACCGCATCGTCCAGCTAGGTATCATTGATGAAACGTCCAGAAATCCTTGGTTATAGCTATTATTTCCCCTCTATGGAACCGCTTTCTTCCTTGAGGGATGGTGCAGGAATTTCGAATTGACTTTTTTGCAATGTCACCACTTTCCGTTTCGCCCACCGTTTTCCTTCCTCCTTTGTCTTGATGGCGTAGAGTCCTACTGTTGTCTGTAATTGGGAGTTCTTCTCAAGAGGTTTCCTGAATTGAATTGCTGAAGAAAAAAGTGCTCTACGATAGTCGACCTATCTGTATGCGCCATGTTTGAAGGTTAAGCTTAATTCCTTCAGGGCTTCGTCCGCCAAGGTCAATCGACCAAAAGCCCCGTTTTACTCGGAAACGACTAATGCGGCAGTATACGTTCCAAAAGAGGTGGAACGCAGTGCGGAGAAGTATGTGTTACTCACTACCTCTTTCGACCAACTTTCCAAAATATTTCAGTTGTATAGAGTGATCCTGATAAGGGAAAAGTCTTTTTCATGCGGAAAGGCTGTCCCTAGGGTTTTGGAGCGTTGGCTAGAGGGACAGTTTTTGTTGAAAGCTGGTATGATGCTAACGTTAATCCTATCCTAGAACTTTTGCTTATTCAGAAAATCGAGGGAAAGAAAACAGGAGCAGCCCAAAGTCACATTCTACGATGAGACCACAAATCGAGCCGATTTCGTCAAGAAGTCTGTTCAGCCGACACGAGTCCGGTAATAGTAACTTGTTTGTTTGGAATAAAAAGTAGCACGAGAGTTTGAAGGCCAAAGAATGGATTGTTGTCTCAGATTGCTGCGAGTCATTCCCCACACAGTAGATTACAATAAAATTTGTACAGTTGTAACGAAGTTACTGAATACAGAACGATAACATTTACAAATCTATAACAACTTCAATTCAGACAATCCACTAACCGACCTGCAGAACAGCCACCCTTTAACGACGAAACAACGAACAAGGTCGAGTACACAGCAAAGGTGAGTTTTTCCATCTACACAAATGGAATAATACTGACTTAACTGAAAAAAGACCTGAGAGTTTTGGGATTAGCTGTTCTCGATGCTTCACCATTATAAGTTATTACAAAGTAGGCATATATTCGATGAATCTGAAAGGAGACCTTTTAGACCGAACCAAAAGGCTGTCCAGCAGAGCGTTTCATAGGAACAAAGAAATGGTACGTTGTTGTGCTGATCCTAAACAAATGTTAAGCCGTCCGAGAGAGAAAGACTAGGTAGGAGATATGGCGAAATCCATGAATAGGAGCTTTGGGAAGGAATGAAAGGGACGAACGAAAGAGTTACTCAGAGTTTGAGAAAAAGTGAAAATCTCTGGAGTGAAGTAAGAGTTTGAAATTGGGGCTGGAAATGGGGGTTAGATGCTTTTTCAGGTCCTCACGAGGCAGAGTAGAACCAAAAGTGTTGCTTATTTTAGAACATATATATATCTTTCCTCTCGAGTCCCTTTTTCCTTATCTTCTTTGACTGAAATTCAATGTGGTTGAATGTTGATAAGGTGAGGATAATACCTAGAACGTACTAAAATTCCTGAAGGTGCCAAAAAGGCGTCTGTCACTCTTTCTGCTCCAACTTGTTCAAAATTTCAACTTCGAATTGTTTAAGGAAAGCTCGTCAACAAGATGGTCATTGGATGTTCCGCGAGGCATTTAAGAAACGTGAAAATAAAGAGAAGGATGAGTAAGTTCTAATGGATATATTATTTCTGGTAGTAACTTTTTTTCTCTTTCTGCCTCATTCTTTCCCGTTTTCTTCCCTTCATCTCCCCGTTCTTCATTTCTTGGCTTTGTTACATCTTCGAGTTTAGGTGCAAATCTCTGCCCTGCTTGCTCCATCTACAGATAGAGTACCTCTCATCCCTGCCCTCCAGCATGTCTACGTCATTGCGCTTCCCCTGCCTTAACGCTGTCTTGTTCTTTTTACCTCCAACTTATCTGTCCTTTTTACACAGAGAGAACTTCCTGGGTAAAGATCATAATGTAAAGTAAGAAAGCTTTTTACTAATTTTCTTTCAAGCAACGTTTCAGTGAACGTCCTGCTACTGGTTAGAAGGTCGTGTTTGCTCTGGTTACCTCAACATAGGCTGTCGAAACAACCTCCAATGCAGTACGGATGTCTTCGGTTGAATTTTCAGGATGTTCTGGTTTCAATGAAAGCTGCTCTATCCGAGATTGTGATAGATTTATTGAAATATGTGTTTAGATTGTAATTCGTTGCTAATTGCTAAGACTAGCCTTCTATAAAGAATTTCCTCAAGCTTTTCACTGTCTGTGCTTTCAATTTCTCATACCTATCCCAATCATCAATTCGTAGCGGTACAATGAATCATACCTGATTCATCGGTTACCTTCATAGTACCACAACGAAGTAACCGAGGAATTAGGCTTCCAAGCGAGGACGCTTATTGGCCCACAAAAGAAACGAAATCACGGAAAACCCGCAATGATCTCAGTATACTATGGAAATGGTGTTTGAAATATTCATTCGACGGTTCCATTAACTCCGAACTATTTTAAAGACAGGCAAGAAAGAGAAGCGTAGGTAAGCCATCATTGACAGGTCTATTTGTAACATAATGTCAATGCAGTGTTTTGTAAGCTACTATGTATTATACATACAGCCAGCTATAGAACCAGAGCAGATAAAGATTACTGTAGCGACAAAACTGAGGGCCTGATAATGATGTACAAAGGCTAATTAATAAATGAAGCTGATTACATAAGCGTTATGACGCCAAAACGAGTTTCCAACAACTCGTTTTAGGCAACGCCTGAAATCTCGATTTAGCCGCCATCAATCCAATATCATTCAGCTTCTGCCTTTGTCTTGCAGGTGGCTGTATAGGCTGCTTTAACCATGTAGTCGTGCTTAGCTTTATGCATTCTGAGGGATTTTATCTACTTCAGCCCCGCATGGAAGGCTTCTGCTTGACATCGTTGTTGAATTCTCGACCTTCTCGTAGCTATATCAGATTTCAAAATTTCTACTTATAGTGAAATGATGTTGCTCATAATAGTGTTGGCTGCTGTATCGGCAGTGTACTCCGGAGAGGAGTTCACGTGGAATCGCTGGGGTAAGTCTAGATATACGTTAGGGTATCCATAGCCCGATGGAAATATTTCCTTCAACGCCGGCTCCCTTGCACCTGGCTAGGCCGAGTTTGATACTTTTCCCAATGAGAGTGGCGAAAGCTCCCATTTTGAAGGTATTTGTGATTCTAGAGAAGCGTACTGTAGACTGTCTAGCAAGTGACCAGAAGGACGACTGCATACTGATCGCTCCAAACGCCAATCCACCTCGAGATCCAAAAAAATATAAGTGAGTTTCTTGAGAATGATACGAGGGCTATTAAAAATTTGCTACCTCGAGTTAGAAGCCCATCCGCTTATTCTTTGAGATGTCGACGAGAGCCTATGCCTCAGAAGTCGTGGAACGAACTTGCTCGCAACTCCACCACTCGTCTAGCATGTCCTATTGGCTGTGAACCCGATTTCGACCTCTCGGTAAGTAGTCGGCATTTTTCGTCAACATATTAGGAATATGGATCTTTCAGGTGATCACAAAGGTGCCATATGATAACGACAAGTGCCAGAAATACTACACATACGGAAAATACCGTGACCATACTGAAAATGAGTGGTAAGTTGCAAAATGTTGCGCTAAAAAGGTTCGAATGGGCAAAGACCTCTGTTCAAGGTACCTGTGGATGACCGAGCCTTGCGTAGCCGCTCTGACAACTCATTGTCGATTCAAGGATGTACCACTGAATGCCAAAAGCGAATCGAGGAAACTTCGGCAAAGGGCATTGTTTGGCCGTGTTTAAATCATGTTTTGTTGTATTTATAACTATCTACGTTGTAGCTATTTATTTATTTATTTGTACGAGTAAACATTCTAGGAAAGACTTAATGGAGCTAAGTGGCATTTTCTCTAGTTCCTATAAAGACATCCT